TCATGGTGACTTGGTTCAAAACGGAATAAAACATATATCTAGAGATTTGAAAGTGGCCAAAAGTTCATGAAAACAAACTTTCAAGTGGGTTCCCGGGAACCAGAGTGACTTGGTATAAATTGAAACGAAACATACATTTAGGAGTGTCAGGAAGGTTAAAAGCTTATGAAAACAAATTTTCAAGTGGGTTTCCGGGTTGCTAGGAACGAGAACCCGTATGGGTTCCGGATTCTCAAGAACGGAACCCGAAACTGACATCCCTAGTGCTGTCATATCTTGTTACATAAATTTCTGTACCATTATGTGCTGCGTCTACGTGTACCAGTATAACAAAACTTATACTTTGGAAACATAAAGTTCTAGAGTTTATGTACTGAAATGCATTGAACTGTTCTGGGCAGTACGTGCACTGGCCAGTATCTGCCAATACATGCCATTGCATGCATTCTACTGTTAGCTTTCTTAGGGATATATATGTTGTTATGACAGTACATGTAGTAGCACGAAGCAATGTGTAGTGGCAAGTACTGGCACGTACATGCACTGGTATAAGAACATATATCCTCCTGACCAAAATCAGCTAAACACTTCTTTTGTTATTTTTCTTCACTAATGTCGTTTGGGTTCATATTTACAGCACAGATTGATACTCGATTAGTTAACTTATCCTGAAAGACTCACTTCTATCGAGTGAGAACTTGTTGACTGTCATTTTAAATTCCATTTGAAATCTCAAATGATATTTTGTTAACTAGTATATTTAATTACAGAAAGAGACATCTTAAGAGAAAGATCCTTTTTTAATGGTTTCACACGTTTTATCGGACACTGTCCAGCAGCTAAACATTTTTAGATATAACATTCAAAGTTACAGGAAAGGAATAGAATGTCTCTCGAATAGAATTTCATTCTCAAAATTAAAAGTTCAATGAGAAATTTTTGGATGCCACGGTCTGACATATGTTCAGACATTTACTGATAATTTGACAAATCTCCAACAGAATCTTTTTAACATCATCGTGATTTACCCCACATTTTTCTTTCGAACGGTGAAGATCGCAGATTTGTAGCTGTTTTCATTCTCAAGATATTCAAAAAAGAATCGAGATGCATTATATTTTGACATCCATAGTAGAATTCTCAATTTTTCAGAAATGTATATGGTGATATAGAAGTTTAGATATCTACCAATAGATTGCGAACATAAGCTGTACGAATACGATTTACACGCTGGAATGTCATTCAGCGTTAGAATAGACTTCGTACTCTTATTTGTGCACTTCTCGTTAGAATGAAATTATTACATTCATTTTACTTACTGAACAACCAGCAGACTATGTTCATAACTTTTTCTCGAAATGTAGGCATTGATGTAGCTAAGGTTGATAACAAAATTACATTATTATCATGCCGCAGTCTAATGTGAAAAAATGCCAAAGGAAACAAAGGAAATACAAATAAATTAATGATAGTTTTTAGTAGATTACTTAAGCGACGAAGTATTGTTGAATATGTTGAGGTCGATGCCTTGAGAATATATATTGTTATTCTGAATTGAACCTATCAAATTTTGAGGTTCATGATCACATTTGTTACCAACTGATTTGGTAGCAAATAGCCCTATCAACCGACCCACGAGAGTTAAGTAAAAGAGCTCGCTTACTGTTAGCAGCACCATCGCACACATAGCAATGCACATCAAAATAAAATCGATACGATTTGCAAACCGAAACTAGAATAAAATCGAATACATCAATCAGTTGATATTTCGCCTGAATATACGAACTAATTGAAGAATACCAACTGCTTCATTTTTGTCACTATGTTTAGTATCATTATCTATATTGATGTATCCATCATCGTTCTTTCTTCTATAGAAACATCGGCGCCAATCAGAAAAACTATGATAAATGATAAATTGATTGTATTTTTCTTGAAATACAGTTATTTAATAGATCGTACCTATTGGTCAAAAGTTGTTTCTTGTTTTCATTATTATCATAATTATCATCATTATCAATAGACAATTTACTGGATGCATTGAACAAAGGTTTTGTATCAGCCATTGAATATTTATTTCAAGTCTTCTGTCCTGAAAAATATGGAAGATAAATATATACGTACATTGGCATAAAACACTAATTGTTGATTATTAGTTTGACTAATCGTATGGTTTTTTTCTTTTCTCTGCTTCTTACTTTAACAAAAAGATATGTGCAGCCAAGCGATTATTTAATAATCACAAAGCATAGATATAAGATCACATAGTTTTTACTCTGACGCCTTTACATAAAGCAGGAATCATTCCCTCACCATACATTAGTATACTGCATTGCCAAGAAAAAAATTCTTAATTGTGATCGTGATCGTGATCGAAGCTAAGAGCTTGTGTGTGGCCACCGTTGAAGGGTGTCCACCAAAATAAGGAAAATAGTGTGGAATGAATTGAGACCACAGAAGAATCATAATGGCAGACCAATAGGAATGAGCATTTGTAACGTACGAAAGTTCCATGTTTTACTAAAACTGAAGCCCAGTGGTCCGTAACTACGACTTTCTTATGGCCTCGATTCATTGTACACTATTTTCCTTATTACAGTGGATTCTCTTAACTCGGCACTAAACCAAGGAGGAAATGGCGTACTTTTGGACTTGAAGTTACTTTCAGCTACTTTAACGATACTTTAAGCTACTTGATATTACTTTCAGCTATTTAACCAGTACTTTAAGCTGCTTCGAGCTATTTGAAACTTGTATGATATATGTCCAAACGATAATCATCAAAGTTATCAGTATAGTTCATTTTGTCTTTCCTAACTAACAGTATAGGATATGGAAATGAGCGTGAGTATATGGCGTGTAAGTCGATGCTGATTGTGAAAACACGATCCTTCACTCCATATCCGTACCCTAGTTCATCGTCTCTTTTATATTGCCCGAAAAGCTTGTCAGTAATGTTCTTATCGAGTGCAGTGTTTTTATTATTATGTTGTTAGTATTGATCTAAGAGTTACCACTATATACAACAACACTGATGCGAATATAAATATCCACACTCACAGGTAACCTTGTTCAAACGTTGAATACTAGTTTTATTGAGCGCTGTAAAGCATACTGAAGGCTTCCAAAATTAATTATTGATCATTCGATCATATCACTCGCTAAGAAGTAGTCACATTTTTTTCTCGTTCTTTACATATACTTTCTTACATATAATCATGCGCTCAACGCGTGATAGTGGAAAAATACTTATTTATTTACGTATTTATCTATTTTTTCACCTCATTTGGGATATTTAGTCATTCATAATGACTTCCTATCCCCCTTCTAATTATCATATGCACAATTGTTCAAATGTTCAAAATCAATCACAAAATAGTCTTACTAAAAAACATAGATCCAATGATGTTTTTCATATGAATCATAACAATCTTATTGATTCTCAAATACACCACGATCCAAATTCAAATGTTACTTTCCATCAAAAAATCCAGAAACACCATCATGTTCCACCACCAGTATCATCTAACATGCAACTCGTCAACTCATCATCTTCATCTGTACGTCGTGTTCATTCATCAAATGATTCTGGTGATGATTTTCATCAGGTTACGAATAAAAAAAAAGAAAAAACAAAAACAAGTTACACCTCATCACCCTCAACAATCAAAAGATATTCCAACATTCGATGGTACTCGTACCTCAACAACATTTTTGACTTCATCTCATCCAAATGCTAATGATTCTCCTATTGCTCAAAATGATCATCATGTTAACAATGTTGGACAACAAAATTACCATCATCAACAGACTTTAATTACAAATGAATTAACTCGTTATGCTCTAACCAGGTATGCATTTCCACCCTACATTCTACGTTTTAAATCAGGAAAGGTTACGACCAACCAAGTCAAAGAAGGTTTAATTGATCATTGTAAACAGAATCACCAGATGATAATTCAAGTAGCAAATTGTCGTTTATCTAATGTTGTACATAATAACAATGAATCTGATATTCTTCTGTATTTAAAAGATGTCGCTTCCTTTTCATTATTATTAGATCATTCTCATTGGCTAATTACTCTTGGAAATGAAAATTATTCATTTCCTTCCTTTCCATCAATTCCACCATAACTTTGTTTGCTAATAAAGAATGTAGATTTACATTTAGATTTTCAAGAATTTTGTTCGGACATGAAATCTCTTTATCCAGAAGTAACAAATATCATAAGAATGAAAAACAAGTTTCACAAGTATATCAAGCTTGTGAAAATCGAAATAACTTCTCCATCTGTTCGTGAAAGATTACTTGAATCAAAAAAAATTACAATTAATTATATCACCTATGATATCGGCGAGTACCTCGCACCTGCAAATGTTTTAATCTGCTAAAAATGTATGGCTCTCGGTCATTTTCAACGACAATGTAATCAAATCTATGGAACCTGCAAAACGTGCGGGGAACAATGTGCTGACCTGAAAATTCACAACTGTTCTCAAATTGAAAAATGTGTTCACTGCTAACAGAACCACAAATCCAATTCTCTTAAATCCCCGGTGGGGAAATCTTTTCGTATTGAACTTACGAAAAAATTGTTAAACTTAAACAATCATCCAACAACATCATCATCATCATATAATAATAATAATAATAATAATATTAGAAAATATATTTATGATATATCCAATTTTCCACCTCTTCCAACTGCACAAGTTTTAACAAATAACCCGATGATGATCAAACTTGATGATCTGATGACAAAAATGTCGGAAATCAAGGATCAAATTTCAAATGTAGCATTGAAATATGAAAAATTTGAACAATTCATATTAGAAAAAAATCAAAATGATAAACGTATTGAAGAACATCTAGATACAGTAACAAAAAATACTGTTGCTTTAAAAAAAGATGTTGTACAACATTCATTATCAGTTGAACGTCACGAAAACTTATTTATGAAAGTATTACTTCCAATATTTGAAGATTTATTTACTGTTATATGCACACAAAATCAAGATAAGAAAGGTAATCCACTTGATGCTGATCTTAAATACAAACTTGAACGCTATCGTGTTCAAATGAAGAAAGCAAGTGAAGGTAAACTTTTTTTCTAATGATCCTTTCACCTTACGCTCAATCTTTTTTCTCTTGTATTTCTTCTATTAGACTTTGTAAAAGAAAAAACTTTTTGTCTAGAGATAAAGAATGTCTATCCCACTTTAACTTTAATCTTTTGTGAAACACGATCTGAAAGGAGTGTTGAAGTGTATAGGGTAGAAATTTTGGACCCACTCCCCCCCGCCCCCCCCCACAGATCGTGACAGAGAAAATTCATAACCATCACAGACCGTGACAGAG